TCTCACCTGGCAGTTGTTGGCTTATTTTATGGAACTGCCATTGGAGTGTACCTTGCTTCAGCTGTATCAGACTCTCCTAGAAAGACTGCTGTGTTCTCCGTGATGTACACTGTGGTCACCCCCATGCTGAACCCCTTCATCTACAGCCTGAGGAACAAGGACATTAAAACTGCTCTGATGAAGCTACAGAGCAGGCCATTCTAGTCTCATTATCACTTTCTTTCTTTCTGTAGTTCAGGGTGGAAAAACCAATCATATAGACCTACATTCTCCTTTATGTGTCTCTAGAAGTGTGATGGCTTTCATTTCACTCCATGTTTCATATGTAGATATTGCTTCCTTTGGTTTGTGTTTAATTGAATTTTATGAGTATTCAGAAACATTTTTTCAATCATCAACCTTTGTAATTTCTCAACAACACTGGCCTACAAATGAAATGTTAAACTCTCTTTCTTAGCCAGGGGTCAGGGTATGGCACCAGGTTTAAACCCAGGGTCTTTTAACAAATTGCAGTTGTAAAAAATAAGCACTGAGTTTTTAAATGATAACAAAAAATGGAGAAAGGATTTTGCACTGTGTAAACACAAACATGTTACCATCTGCCAGGGTCCAGAGAGAAAGACTTCTTAGATTCCAAATAAAATATTTGGAATTACATCAACCTTGAAATTAAATGATGATAATAATGATGATGATGCTGACGACCACCATGATAACGACAATGATATCTTCCCTTAATGAGTTCTTACCATTTTCCAAAGTGCTATAAGTAGGGCTGGATTTGTGGCTCAGTAGTAGAACACTTACCTGGCATGTGTGAAGCCCTGGGTTTGATCCTCAGCACCACTTATAAGTAAATTAATTAAATAAAGTTCCATTGACAACTAAAAAAAATCTAAAGTGCTATAACTAACTATCATTAAAAATGAAAACATTAAGCCTATAGATAAGTACCAAGTTTTAGCACACAGTTAATAAATTCAGGAACTAGTCAAAAAATCAAATTTTCTGTTTGTAAAGCCCATGAATTGAATCTATTAACATGAGAATGAAAGTTTAAGTTATTGATGCAAAACAATGCACCGAAGATTGTTTTAATCAATACATCCTACCACATCTTCTCAGCACCCTCTTGGTTCAGTGAGTATTTTTTCCCCATCAATTTACAGTTGAATAAGTTGAACGAAATGTGTTTTCTACCATATTCAATGTCACACTGTTTTTATTAGTTTACCTTTAAACACCTGAAATGTTCACTTTAAAAAATGTACTTCTTTAAAGTGATAAGAGGAATAATCTTTTGATAGGAAACCCTTTGCCTGGTCTTTGACAAAATTACCTGCTATCATACCTGGCCCTGGCAGATAAGCACTGTGGTGGCCCTTAACTTGGTGCTGAAGAATCTGGGGGTTAGGGAGGATCCCTGAAGGAAGCCAGGTGGGGGAGCAAGATGGTGGCAAAGGTCTCCAACCCTTGACTCCCCATAGACACACCAGTATGAACAGCTGTGCCCCAAACTACCTTCGAGAAGCTAAAGTAGCTGGGTCAGAGGACATGGCACCCATTCTGGGGGTAGTAATGAGTGCAGCTCTGAGGTAGCAAGGGTCTCAAGTTTTCAGGCAATATCTGGGGAGTTGAGGGTCTTCCAGGCTCAGATATTTCTGTTATCTGTGTGTGGGGTTTTGTTTTCTCTTTTAAATCCAGGCATGGGTTGTCACAGTACTCTTAGAGTTAAACTGAATTTCCTGATCCATTTCTACAGTCATTTCCCACCTTGAGATTCCTTGGTGTTTTTCAGTCCTGGGCATTTTAATAAGGTGTTTCTGGGTTGTTTTTTTTTTAATTTTCTTTTTTTTTTTTTTTCCTGATGGACAAAGTAGGACTTAAGTAAAGAGTGGTCTGTTGCACTCTTTCCTCCTCAGAGCTACCTGGCTGAGAGACCCCCATGCTGTGGAAGTGAAGTCAGTTTGTCCTTAACTGTTGTGAATAACGCTTTATCACATGCCTACTCAAGTTGCATATGGTGGGCAGGGTGCCTCTGGAGGACTGAGAGAGAATGTGAAGAGGGCCAGATGGCAGGTATTGAGAGGTGGATGGGGTGGAAGAACTAACTATTGGCTAAGACAGATTGTGCCATAGGGAAAAAA